AGAGAAGAAGTTCGGCGATCACTTCGAATTCCCCAAACACCGCTGCCCGAGCCAGAAACTGTGAGCTACGCCGCTGCAGTGCGCCCCAACGCTCCTCCCCATCCACGCCAAAACGCCACCCCGTCGCACTTCCGTCGCCAGACACCGAAGCAAATTATTCCACAACAGAAAAGAAGTGCCTCGCCATCATCTGGGCTACGTCGAAATTTCGCCCCTACCTCTAAGGCAGGCCCTTCAAAGTTGTGAGCGACCACCACGCCTTGTGTTGACTAGCCATTTTGAAGGACCCTTCAGGTCGCCTCGCAGGATGGAGCCTGAGACTTCAAGAGTATGACATTACTGTCATTTACAAGTCCTGCAAAAAACACTCCGACGCCGACTGTCTCTCTCATGCGCCTGTCGACCAACCGCTACCCGACGACCCGGATGACGAGTACTTCTTGGGAACGATAACTACCGACGACTTCGCTGAACGACAGCGGGCCGACCCGGAACTTAAGGCCCTAATAGAATACCTCAAAGGCAGGACCGCCGAAGTCCCGAAGGTATTCAAGTGCGCACTTGCGTCGTTCTTTCTACGAAACGGTCTTCTACAAAAGAAAAACTTTTCTCCGCTTCGAGCTAAGTACCTCCTTGTGGTGCCTTCAGCTCTGCGACCAGAACTCCTGCAGGCCCTGCTCGACGATCCGACGGCAGGGCACCTCGGTGTTTCTCACACGCTCGCGAGGATACAAGAAAGGTACTACTGACCACGTCTTACCACCGACGTCACTCGTTATGTGAGGACATGCCGGGACTGTCAGCGACGCGAGACACCGCCGACAAGGTCAGCGGGACTTCTGCAGCCAATTGATCCACCTTTCCGACCTTTCCAGCAGATTGGTATGGACCTACTGGGGCCGTTCCCGACGTCGGCTTTCGGAAACAAGTGGATTGTGGTAGCTACCGACTACCTCACCCGCTACGCCGAGACAAAAGCCCTGCCAAAAGGCAGTGCATCCGAGGTAGCTAAGTTCTTCGTCGAAAATATCGTCCTACGTCACGGCGCCCCGGAGGTCCTTATCACTGGCAAATAAACGGCCTTCACTGCCAACTTAACTCAAGCGATCTTGGCATACAGCCAAACAAACCACCGCCGGACGACAACGTACCACCCACAGACCAACGGCCTCACCGAGCGGCTTAACAAGACGATCGCCGACATGCTGTCAATGTACGTCGATGTCGAACACAAGACGTGGGACGCCATTCTTCCGTATGTGACCTTCGCATACAACACGGCGGTGCAGGAGACGACGCAGATATCGCCATACAAATTGGTCTACGGAAGGAGCCCGGCAACGACGCTCGATGCCATGTTACCCAACGTCACCGAGGAAGAAAACCTTGATGTGAGCGAGTACCTTCAACGCGCCGAAGAAGCCCGACAACATGCGCGTCTCCGTATCAAAAATCAACAGACGACCGACAGCCACCGTTACAACCTTCAACGACGCTTCGTGAAATACCAGCCCGGTGAACGTGTTTGGGTGTGGACGCCGATAAGCCGACATGGACTAAATGAAAAGCTTCTGCGACGGTACTTCGGACCGAACAGGTTGGTTCGACGTCTCGGCCCACTTGATTACGAGGTTGTCCCAGACGGCATCACGAACTCTCAACGACGCCGATCGCGACCTGAAGTTGTACATGTCGCGCGCCTCAAGCCGTTTTATGCGCGTTAACAAAACTGAAACAGTGTTTTTTTTATTATTATTGTTGTATCGTAATTTATTCATTGTACTTTTTTGCATTATTATTGTACCTTCATCTTTAGTTAAAGCATCGGGACGATGCCTTTTTTCAGAGGGGGTCAATGCCACGTTCCATTTCCCAAGTTTTTGTTATCGTCCCAAAACACCACACGATTCTCAGCGCAAACCGCGCCTGCAGTTTTCGAGAAGGTTCCGAACTGTAGTAGATCATTTCGATAAGATCACGCCCACTGTGCGAACGGTACAGATTGTTTTGGAACCTACGCCACCGCCAGCGATAACGCTAGAACATTCGACAGAAAGAGTATAAATGCCGATGCGCTTCGCCGCTTGTCAGTTGTTGATCGAAGGCCGACGCTCCGTTCGCCGCTATCAGTCCGGGACTGCTATCTGTGCGAGACTGCTGCTGTAATTGGACTTTCCGTTTACCGGGCACAGGTTCGCCCAAATAAACAGTCAAATCCCAACACGAAGTCTCCTGTCTTCGGCAACGTCACGACCCCGTGACATTATCAACACGCATTTGGGGTTATTCAAGCATACGCGCTTATCCTATGGCATAACAAGTGCACCTTCGATTTTCCAGGCTGTTATGGATGACGAGTTGAAAGGACTTGATCGGGTAGCGTGCTATCTAGACGACGTGCTGATAGCAGGAGCTACTTTTGAAGAATGTTTCCATAAAGTAGAAATTGTGCAGTCCCGGTTTCTAGAAAGAGGCACTCGACTGAAAAAAGAGAAATGTAAGTTCTTTCAAACTTCCGTCCTGTATTTGGGGCACGTTCTCGATGAAAAGGGCATACACCCGTCAGAGGAAAAAGTAAAAGCCATAACGGAGGCCCCTGCACCTGCAAATGAGGCACAGTTAAGAGCTTACTTAGGGTTGATAAATTACTATGCTAAGTTCGTTCCCCACGTGGCCACGAGACTCAGACCACTGTATGACGTGTTGAACCAAGAAAAAGGTTTCAAATAGTCCCGTGAGGCAGAGCAAGTGTTCCAGCAAAGAAAAACATGATTGACGGGAGGAAACGTTTTGACATACTACGACCCAACGAAAGAGACAGGGCTGGTGTGTGACGTATCCATATACGGCGTGGGCGCCATTCTGTTTCATAAGATCGATAAGGTGGAAAAACCTATTGCTTATGCGTCTAGGGCACTGAGCAAAGCAGAGAAAGGTTATGCTCACATTGAAAAAGAGGCTCTCGCCGTGGTCTTTGGGCTGAAGAAAATCCACAAATACCTATTTGGGCGTAGTTTTGTCATTGATTCGGACCACTAGCCATTAGCCAGCCTTCTGGGGCACGGCAGACCAGTTCCACTATTGTCTGCAGCGTGCATGCAACGATGGGCTTTGCTACTGGCGGCGTACAATTGCAGATGGAAGTACTGAAAAGGCAGTAACAAGGGAAACGCTGATGCGCTTTCGCGATTGCCGTTGGCGAATGAGCGAGGTGTCTCAGATTACGTACAATTTTTCTCTGTTGTCAATGAACTTCCACTGTCTGCTGACATAATCAGCAAAAAAACGAGTACTGATAGAGTGCTATCGAAAGTGTTGTGGTACACGAAAAATGGCTGGCCTGCGCATGTCACTGATAGTGAATTCGAACCATACTTTCTTAGCCAGTATTAACTATCGGTAGATCAGCAGTGCGTTACGTGGGGAAATCAGGTAATTGTTCCGCACTGTTTGCGTAAACAAGTATTGGCACTTTGTCATGAAGGTCACCCCGGAGTTACGCGTATGAAAATACTCACGCGCAGCTATGTCTGATGGCCTCAGTTAACCCAAGATATTGAATATGTTGTTAAAAGTTGCTGTACTTGTCAGTTGATGCAGAACGCTTCACCTAAGACCCCACTACAAGCTTGGGGTTGGCCGAGCTGCAGATGGCAGCGACTCCACCTGGATTTCGCATTCGCAAACAAGTGGCTCCTCGAGCTGGTGGATGCACATTCGAAGTGGGTGGAGGTGTTTGTGATAAATTCAACAACGACCGAGAAGACCGTAGAGAGGCTGCGTGGGGTGTTCGCATCGTATGGCCGTCCAGAGGAGGTTGTTACGGACAACGGGCCTCAGTTCACAGCAAAGAGTTTCACAGAGTTCCTGCTTAAGAACCGAGTGCGGCACACCAGAACACCTCCATACCACCCGGCGTCCAATGGAAGCGCCGAGATGTGTCCAGACGGTGAAACGGGATCTTACGCGACAGCTTCTCGACGAAAGGTCATCGGGCCAGAGTAAGACCCTACAGCACCGCATAGATCTCTTTTTGTTCAGATACCGGAACACACCGACCACAACCACGAGGCAGACACCAGCAGAACTGTTTTTGTCGTGGTCGCCCCTCACTCGCCTGACTATGCTACAGCCAGACCTAGAGGGACGGATGGAAGAACGGTTCTCCAAAGTAAAGGCCCAAGTTGACGAAAGAAGAGGGTCGGAAAGAGCTTACAAAGAGGGGGAAAGCATTCTGGTTCAAGGCCTTCGTCCAGGTGATCCCAAGTGGCTGATAGGTGTCATAGAAAGAAGGTGCAGTGCCGTTACGTACCTTGTGCGCGTAGGATCTGAAAACAGGTTCATGCATGTAGACGATTTACGTCCGCGCTACTTTAAGAGTGGCGAAGAAGGCCCCAGTGAGCGTCCCTCTTTCGTGCCCAGCTCAATTCCAGACCCTGGGTCCGAAGCCCCTCCTATGAGCCCCCGTCCCCTTTCGGTTCATGCATCTCCCAGGCCTGCTACCGCACCGCCGGAGCAACCCGGAGACTCAGCTCCCTCGGAACAACCAAATGCAAGTCCACATCAAGGCTCTGCCCCGGCAACGTCCCCTCTGCGAATACCTGTGTCTCCTCTAGGTGTTCAGACTCTTCGATGCAGTGCTCGTGCAAGAAAACCTCCCGATTGGTATAGGCCATAAACATTGTGGGAAGGAGTGTGGTGTCATGCGAAGCCTGTGTGACGTCACGCTGATAGCGCTGGTGCTTCAAGGCTATATAAGCGCTGCAAACCGGGCACCCAGTGCTCTTTTGTACTCCGTATTCATGCAGTTATAAACCTTCTTACTGTTCTTCGTTCACGGCCACTCTGGCTCTGCTCGTCCCTCAAGGCTACAACAGACTCCTCTTAAACAGAACTCGAAGGGGATCCAGAAAACTGTTACATTTATCAGAAGTTTCATTTAAGCAACGTACACATATTTCATGAAGCAAAAACTTTATTTCGTTTGCACCAACCCTAGCTTACTTATCAGGATGAGTAGGGGCAAAAAATGAGTGAAGTGTGGTTCGCTTGGCATGCTTGAGCTGCTTCTTAACAAAGTAAGCACCCATGCTTGACAAGCTAGACAGAAAGTCAGGACAACTCTCATGCTCAAAATATCGCTGCAAAAGTTCAACAGCCTCCTTAGCTGCACTGTCCGGTGGCACCTCTGCACTGGCAATGATGTCATCACACTCATCGCTGGAGAAAGGTTGATTGTCAGCTTGCACTTCAGCAATCAGTTCCTCAAGCATCTCCTGGCAACAGGCTTGAACACTTTCATCAATCGTCTCATAGTCCTGTCGTGTGAAAGGGGTAGAAGGCACAACCTGATCAAATACTGCATCAGCATCAGCATCAGCCAGGCTTTCCTCTTCATGTACTAGTTCTTGAGCTTGAAAGCCCGCATGGTGGAAGCACCTCTGTATGGTTGTTGTCTGTACTTGCTCCCAGGCGTGGGCCAAAATGTGAATAGCAGCCAACAAATCTACATTGTAGTACTTGTCAGTGTCAGCACAAAGCGGCATTCGCTGGAGCAGCTGTCTCCGGTAATGAACTTTTATGTTCTGTATTACCCCTTGATCTATTGGCTGGATCACTGCAGTGATATTGGCTGGCAAGAACTCGAGACTGATGGACTTGAGTCCATCAACCTGACGATGGGCAGGACAATTATCCACGATCAAGACAACCTTCCCGCCTTGCCTTGTAAATCTTGCATCTAGCTCCCGTAGCCAGTTTTCGAAAATTGCCATAGTAGCCCAGGCTCTTCCGTTAGCCTTGTACGTAACGGGAAGGTGTCGAACACCCTTGCAACAATGTGGGTGCTTCGACTTTCCTAAAACTAAAAGCTTCAACCTCTCACCACCTGCCATGTTAGCACCCACCAGCACAGTAACTCGATCTTTACTGCGTTTTCCAGCACTACAGGCTTCGCCTTTGAAGGCGAGAGTCTTTGACGGAACACCTTATAAAGAAGGCCCATCTCATTGATGTTGAAGACTTCTCGCGGCTTTTCGAAATTTCCTGAAGGCACCCCTGTTGCCAGTCGGTGCAAATGTCTCTATTCCCTGCAGCACTCTCACCTGAGATTGCCTTGAAAACAAGGCCATGGCATTTCTTGAAGCGACTGAGCCATCCGTCGCTTAAGGCAAAGTTCTCAACACCCATACACAGGGCAATCTCTCGCGCCTTCTGGTCCAGAATGGGTCCGCTTATCGGAAAATTCGAACTCCACGCACGTTTGAACCAAACGAAAAAAACTTTTTCCAAGTTCTTTATAAGGCGTCGTCCACATTCGTATCCGCTTAGAGGTGAAGGTTCCATTTTTGACAGCTCCTTCGATTGTCTCTTTATTCTTCAGGATCTGTGACAGCGTCAACTTCGAGATGTTGAACTTATTCACCACCTTTGTCTTTGTCAGGCCGCTTCGACCGAGCTCCTTAAGAATTTCGAGCTTGTTTTCAAGCGAGAGTGCCAGATGGGGCCGCTTCTTTGTGCTCTTCATCGTGCCGAAATATCCATGTGTAGATACGCAAGTAGGCCTAACGCAGCTAACAGCTTCTGCTGCCGCCTTCTGTGGCTAGAGGTGTGGGCCGAGGCCGTTTCGACCGGCGGCGGCGTGGGGCTCATTTTGAGCGGTGCACGGCCCCTTTTTGTCTCCGTTGCCGTGGAAACCGAAACCACAAGTTCGAAAACCGGTTTACTGCGTCTTTTTTTTGCTCAATTGGCTGAAATTCAGAGCTTTTAGCACTAACTGCAAAATACAACATATGAGATTACTAGAAGAGAATAGACAAACGTTTCGTAAATGTTTGTTTTTGAGCATGCACAATGAAAATGGGGGGGGGAAATGGTGCGAGGGGGGCTACTTATTTCAAGTCGTGTACAGTACATTATTAATTTTCAGGGACGTTTTGACCACCCGTTTAGCATTCGTCAAATAGCGATTACCGCGGCTGGAATCAAAAATGCATCAGAACGTACCATGTCACCATGGTACGTATGTTGAATGTATTTGTTGCTTCCCCACATGTGCAGCATTTTTTTTGGGGGGGGGGGGGGGCGGAACTTTTTGAGGTGTGGGTCTGTCTGTCCTCTGATGGTGTATGTAGCCACCCATGCCACATACCCGAAAGAGAGGTCCTTAATATGTCCGCCGAAATGGGGGCACTTCTATATAATGAAGACATGGATCAATATATGTGGGATGGCTGTACATGGGAGGGTTCAGTAGATAGACGGACGGACGTACAGATGGACGGACTGATGGCCGCACAGACAAAGGGGCAGACGCATGGACAGACAGAGAGATGGCTGCACAAACGGACAGACGGAACGGACGTACTGATGCATGAAGGGATGCACGGACGGACCGATGCACCGGCGGTCACACGGATGGACGGACGCACGGACAAACGGAAGCAAGAACGAATGGGCAGAAGAAAGCACAGACTGACGAACGCTTCGCCCCACCAATCATCATTCACTCCGTGGATATGCTGTTTTTTTTTTGTCTTTGCATGTCTCACAAGATTTATGATGATAACCTGCTGGCATATCATTTGAAAGAATGACGAACCCAGCCTTGAAGGACGCATGCACACAACAAGATTCAACATGCAAGCTTGGTCGTCAGTACTTTTAATGAAGCATCACGGTTCGAAAAGAAATGACGATAATTATATCGCGAGAACAGAACGACGATGTAGAGACAAGAAGGACACGAGCGCTAAAGTCTCTGTCTCTGCGTCGTTCTGTTCTCGCGCTATAACTATCACCATGTCATACCAACTAGCCCAAGCTGCCACACTTCGAAAAGAAAACCAAGACGAACATGTGCTACACGTGATGCAGCTAGTACAGATTAAAATACTGCGAATGAGACAATTGCATAAATAACCAACATGTGCCCATACACCATAAAAACCAGAAACATTTAACCCAGGGCACGATACATTCCAAATTACATTTCTCTGAAAAGATGATCAGCGTCGTTTCGTGATAACGCAATGGGAGGTACACGATCAGGACTATGTTTGTTTGTTTTTTTGTGAATTTTGTATACTTCAGTCAGTTCTTTATCGCATATCGAGGCATTTGATATATGCTTTCGTCAGTTCCCTCTCACATTTATTTAATTACTCGGTATCGTTAAAAACTGGCGAGCAACTGAACTCTCTGCAGTCGAGCAGGCGAGTCTCCTCACAATGATGTGATGGACATTTCAGGTTCTTTGAGCGTCCCGCCTGGCCTATGCACACTCTACCACAAAACAAAGAATGGCTAAAATACCTGTCCATTTCTTCATCCTCATACAAGAAAACGGTATACGATACGAATGACATCTAACAAAATACTGAGGCCTTAAATGTGCACTTCTTTCTTCACGTTTGCGAGTAATTCGGTTAATGGTATACATGGCCAGTTGTACCTGCTCCTTGATTTCCAGATTTGATGATCTCACAAAATCGCGAAAGCATTGCGTGCTGCCGTGAATTCGGTAACTTTTTTTTCATGCTATGAGAAATCGTGTACTACCGCTTGTCTACTGTAAAAACTTTCGCGCATACCTGAAGTTCTATCTGTTTCTTTTTTAACTTCCTTTTCGTTTCAACTCAACCTTGCGGCCTTACAAGGGATGACTCAAACGCTGCAGCTTTTCAATGAAGGCTGTTCAAGTGCCACCTAATTCCCTCCGCAATTGTAGGTATGCGTGACCCCGTGACCCCCTGAAAATGCAGTTTTCTTCTACTAAGAATCCTTCCAAACAAACAAAAAAAGAGGGGGATGCTGCAGGGGGGGGGGGGGGGGGCAGGGATCACAAAACAGTAAATTACATTGCCAGTGTAAAAAAAAATTTTGCAGCTTTTTTTCCTTTTCTTTTTCTTGAAGTAGAGTAGCTATGTAATCGCACACATTTACTTGTCCGTGGAACACGTTGGGTCGGTCCAGCGCCGAGTCACGGAGAAACTGATGACCCCTTTCCTTTTCCTCCTAATACAAGAAACAGGTCGCCGGAGGGCTGTGGGCCTGCTGATGGCCGTCCAAATATGTGCTCCTGACATGGGAAGTGAGCCCCTATGCAGCCCGACAAGGCAAGAGTTCGTGCCTTCCCGGCCACACCACCCTGCTTGAGGAGAGCGGTGTCATGGCGGTTGATGACCAGCCTCGATAATTGAGCGGGGCGAGTGGCGGTCCTGTTTTTGCTCCATTTCACGAGCGTGAGACCTAAGCACCAGCCCTTCTCACATCAAAAAAGGGTCAGATTAAACTGTGGTGACGATTCCTAGTAAAAAATGTCGACCTGCAGGGGGGCGTGGGCTCAGTGGACATATGTTCATCTGGTTTCACGATATGTCCATCATGTGGCAAAATGCTTATCCCGTAATTATTCTAAATAAACGTCAAGTTTTCTTCTACTAAAGAAAATTTAGTATCTTCAAGCTGCCTCGACCCCGTCTTTGCGAATGTCCTGTGCCAGAACGACTGGGCACAACACTTCTAGAAGCGCTGATATACCTCTTGAGAGTTTAATGCCGTTTCGTAATCTGTCATATAGAGGGTTCTTTTTTTATTTGGCAGTTTTATCAATTCTTCGATTACTTACATAACGATGATCTACGGTAAAACACTATGCACAATTCAGATTATCTTTCTGAATATTTCGTACAACATGCTGAAAGGAGGTCGATCGGTCTGTATAGTTTGTGGTTGAATGATAACATGAACACGTGAAACAAAACGCGCTGTGTTGATGAATCAATTCATATATGCGCATGATGGGAAGTTATGAGGAGAAGAGGATGTGTGTGAAAACGGCAGTTACATCACTCGCATGACGATAAAATCTTTAGCGAACTATAATTTATGAAAACCATCCAAAAGCACTAAAACAGCAAAGGAACCAGACAGGACAAGTGCTGGACTAAAAACTAAATATTTATTAAAGAAAGCCCCCACACACATGAATCATCAGCGCATGCATAAAAAGGCCTATCTGATCCTAGTATGTTGCACATTTAACAATACAAAGGCAAGAATTAAGCCTGTCAGTGTGTCGCAAAAAGCGCATTTCCACAAAGCCAAAATATCAATGCCATGTGCGCCCGTTGACTAAAAGCTGAGGGTACACATCACATATGTCACGTTGCCTTTTTCGTTATATTGATAGGCTTCGCAACTTTCATATTGAATGTTATTTTTCAATTCCATTTTTATGACACCCCGATTTGAAATCAGGGGCACACACCTACAGCCTTTGCAGCACAGACGTACGAGATGCGAAATTTCCTTGTCACGTGGCCGTGTCTACAAAGGTCGGAAGAACCAGTCAGCTTCAATGACAGACTACAAGAACTCCCTACAGGTCCTGGTGAAAACTCACCACTGCACTGCAATGGCTGTACGTCTCCGATTTCAAATCAATAAGTGTCATTGGCAAAGAAATTAAAAATAAGCTTGAACGCAAAGTATTTAAAGTCTTCAAAATAAAACAAAACATAGCAAAACGTCATGTTTAAATCATCCATCAGTTTTCCTTACATATGAAGAATTCGCGTTGCTACATACACTACAATATTGACGGTGGCGTCGATATTGTAGTGTTTCATGAAAATTTGCGGTTTGTAACACCTATACACTGTTAGGTGCACAATTGTCAAATGACCCAAATAGCATAATTTATGCACGCCTTGCTGGATTGTGTGTGGCTGGGGTTTCTGCAATAAACATTGTGTTTGAAGTCCAATGCTTG